TGGGGAGGATAAGTTTTGTTGTTGTTGCTGCTGGGAAGTGCGACGAGACGTCGCCATTTTCGCACTCAAATCCCCCTCTGGCAGCGAAAACAGTCGGGGAGAACTTCCGGGAAGTGTCAGGGTAAAACTTCCGCTTGCAAATGACCAAAACGGACAAATAATATTTTTTGCTATCTGTGTCTTATCACCATGGTAACCACAGTTTCCGCCAGCTAAAATCAGGGGAGGCTTGGTATCATCAAATAAATAAACAAATAAATGAAATTAAACAAAAAGACAAATAAACAGGCAGAAATATATTGTTCTGAATATAAAACGACAAATAAATCTCTGTTAAGTGTTATGTAAGTAAATCTAGCCTACCTAAATGTTAGTCAGCAGAACTCAAAATAAAACATTCCTGCTATTATTGTCGATGGTTTATTCCTGCTGAAGAAAAAAAGCATTTAAACTAGTCTACGATGGTTTGCTGGTCTTCCAATGCCTGCCTTTTTTTCCCCGTTTGTTTTTTAACAGATCAACATACGTTTGTTTACAACATCAAATCCAAAGTTTGTCTTGGATGTATAAGCAGCTGTTTATGAAAAAAAAAACTTTGCTACTCATTTCCTTGATCCTCATTGGGCAACTCAACCATCACTGATCCAATATTGACAAAACAAAACTGCAGATTTCTCCTCTGTAACAGTCTGTTTTAACTGTTGCTAGATGTTAGGCTAGTGAAAGTGATGACCTTCTGAGGTCAGAGTTCTTTTCTTCAGCTGTTTGGAAATATTTGGTTGCCCAAGCTGAAACACTAGCCCAGAATGAACCTGTGCTTAAGTATCTAAGGTTCTGTTTGTTTGATTCCTGTTACATAATGACAATGTTTGCGTGAGAATCACAGAGCTCTTATCACACTGACAGTCCAACGTTACTGTTTACAAAGTTATTTGATTTTCTCCTCTGTTCAAAAAGTGTAAAATATAGTCAAAATATCTATATCCACAATCCTAAAAGACCAAACTGAAAATCTGTAAAAAAAAAACAAATAAAAAAAAAAACATTATGTGATGCCCAAATTCACAATATTCATAAAACAGTAGGCAATGACCTACTACTACCGGTGAGATTCTGAAGTGCACATCCAATAGACACTTTACTATTCCATAAGGCCATGGGAGAGGATTTGTGAATGGCATGAATCGACTAAACTTATGCTGGTACTGTAGGCCATATAATATATGTCAACATGACGAATGTAGTATATCCAAACTGCATTCATACTACACATTCGTAGAACATGCTTTTAACAGCAGTGAAGTAATTATTCAAAAAAGTGCCTCAGAGAATATACTATTTTGGACACAAGTTTTTCCAGTTAATCCTTTCCCTTAATTTGTTATGCTGATAATGTCTTGGGGGGGAAAATGTAAAATTGTTTTAAATATACACAGGATTGAATGTGCTCTGGAAGTTCTACAGCTGCTCCATTTCTGTCCACACTGCTCTGTCAATCACAGAGGTTCACAAATGAACCCATGTAGCCCCTGTACAAGTACTGATGTGCCTTTCTGCATGGGTGTCATACCAGCTGTCATAAGCGTCCAGTGCTGTAAACATGTCTGAAAATACTTTTCCAAGCACAATACTTCAAATCATTGTCGCATATGTTTTTGTCTGAAAGAAATAAACATATTAGAGTGCATAATCACAAATAAATACAACACCTACAGAAATATATTTTCTTTTAGACTTTGTGTATTTATGGACCTTTTGTTTTATTCATAAATGATCAAACATATTGCACAATACAGCAGCATGACCTCCATTTGACCTCTTCTTGTCACCTTTATGTACAGTTGTCCTATTGATTCGGAATGAACAAGCCTAAACAGCTGTTCTCCTGTTAACCTTCTCTACAGTCTGTTTTAGTTCACTATTTCACAACCCATGCGCCTAAAACAGCTTCTCCTTTTCTACTGACTATGGCTGTTTTTTGACCCTATAGTGTTACAGTGTTACTGTATCTGGAATTATCGATGGATTTTCCACACTTATCTGTGCATCAGTTGTGGCAGCAGTAGGATGAGGTATACCACAGTGTCCCAATGTCTCCACATTGACACTGAGTATAATTCTGACTCCTATATGATGAACAGTTTTGTTCAGCTTGGCTTTTAATTAAGTATAAATTATGTATTGTTTTTTAAATGTTCAATTTTTATGTGAAATTATCCCAAATTTTACATTATGGTCAATTATATATGGGAAATAGAGTCTTAATAAAGTCCACTATTAAGTAAAATATTGGGATTTTGGGAGCAGAAAAAGGATGTTTGAACAAAACATTGCTTAGAGGTGATGCACACAATTATGCACATGATCAAAATACTGTATTTACCTTACTTAACCTTTTAAATTGTCTAAATAGACTTGCATGCTATGCACAGTGATAGAGATAGGATATTAGATTAATTACTGACACCACAATTTCCTGAGGCAAAATCAGCTAGATTCTGTTTCGCTGTTGACAGACAGTAGTCACTATTTTTCTTTCATTGCATGTTGCTTTGACTTCATCTACATGTGATTGGCATGTTGGACACTCATTTTAGATTGATTTATGCTAGTGAAGGCCAGAAACTATGAACATTACAACCACAGGATTAAAAAAAAAAGACTTTTTATTTCTCAGTTCAGACATTCGAGTTTGCATTTCGCAATTCTGACTTTGTTCTGAGAATTCTGACTTTATCCCACAAATCTGCTTTTTTTTTCTGGTACAGAATTACAAATAAAAAAAGTAATTGACACTTTTTATCTTACAATTCTGACTTTTCTTAGAGTTGTGAGTTTATATCTCACAATTCGGAGTTTATATTGTGAAATTCTGACTTTTTTTCTCACAACTCTCACAATTCAGACTTTTTTTCCTATGAATTCTGAGTTTACATCTTGCAATTCTTATTTCATCAAAATTCTGACTTTTTTTCTTACAATTGCAAGCATATACTTTTCTGACATTTCTTCTCAGAATTCTGACATTGTATCTCACAATTCTACGTTTTTTTAACACGATTGTGAGTTTATATCTCACAATTCTGAGTTTATATTGTGCAATTATGACTTTTTTCTTAGAACTGTGAGAAAGAATTGTGATATATAAACTCAGAAATGCAAGAAAAAAGTCTGAATTGTGATAAAAGGTCACATGATACAACTAGTCAACAACCATGGATGTCAAACAAATCAGTTTCAAGAGTGCTTGTCCCCTACTAGACAACAGTGCTGAACACATTCCTTTGCATTTCCATTCTCAATGCACATATGTTAACACAGATACACAATAATCCCAGAATAACTAATGGAATGAACTGAAACATTATCTGCACTGGTCATAGAATGTGAAAGCATTTAGAAGTTAGTGGGTTCATGTTTATGGAAGTAAAAGTGGTGGATATTTTTAAAACACGGGGGCCTCCAGACATGGCCTACTGACCCCCCGGTCTTGCCAGTCACGTGACATGCCATTGATCAGCATGGGGTGCATGCATGCCCCTGTAGCCTGCCGTGATTGGTCCAAACAGGTAGTTCACGTGAACACGGGCTGATCATCGGCAAAAATGTAATTTTGGTGCCGGCCGGTACAGCTAGGAGGCTCGCTCATTCCGGACGCACATTAGCACGAGCGTATTACTCTAGTGAGCTGAAGCTGCATTCACTAACACGAGACACTGGGCTTGGTGAAGAAGTTTGACCCAGTTCAAATGCCGTGACACAGGTATGCATGAATTTATGCTCTCAATTTGCTTCTCTGGATCAGTTTAAAGCGCACTGGAATAGCGCTGAGTTGATTCGTGTTCCAGCACGCAGAGATTTTTAATCTAAGGGAGGGAGGAAACTTTTATTAAACACGGTCGTGCCCAGGGAAACGGCTGCAAACCAGGAAGAGCATGACGCAGAGCGACATATGATATTAGGCTTAACGTTTTTAATAGATATGGAAAAGGAAAGCAATCTTGCATAACATTGGGATAAAAAAAAAATCAAAATCAAAGATTAAGAGAGGAGGGGTTGTTCAGAAACGAAGGCAGCAGTATGATAAAGCGTGATGGTATGTTGGACCTGGGCGAAAGTTGCAACTGCAAATGAGCTTCAACAGGTGCGAAAGCATTTGATTCTAAAGCTAATTGTCATTGCCTATTATTTCAAATCACCATTTTCTGTTTTAATCTAAAGCAAATCTTGTTTTTAATAGGACAATGTTTCATTGTTACTGACCGTATGTGGATTCAAGAGATTTTGGGAGCTTTTTTTGTCTCAGACTTTTTGAAGTTATATTCTCAGAATTTGCCGTCTACAAATTAAATTTTTTTTGTTTTGTTTTGTTTTTTTTAAACCTATTGCTTATCTTTACATTGTGTAAATTTATGTAAAATGACAAAGAGTGCTGTTGTTACAACCAAACCCACTGCTAGACGTTTTAAATTGTGTACATGAGTTTATTGTGGTAGGGCCTAATCACAGAATTTACTTGTTGAAAGTAGTGTTGAAAATAGTTTAAAATTTAATATAAATTTAGGAAATGGAAACAAAAAAAAACTCACAAATCAAAAAAAACCCCAAAAAAAACATACCTTTTGTATGGGTTAGTTATTCTAACTATTGTAGCAAATATAGGCCAGCACGCTACAATCTATATGGGACCAATGGAAGTACACTGTAAAATAGTGTCAACCCTCCCCATCTCCTCAGCCATGACATTTCTAGCAGATTTTCATGTAGATGTAGATGAAAATCTTGTGCAAGTTATATGGCAATTCTGTTTTTTCCTGTAAACCCGTATTTATTAAACAGTCTTGCATCATCTACTCCAGGGTTGCTCAGGTCTTGCCCTGGAGGGCCAATGCCCTGCATAGTTGAGCTTCAACCCCGATCAAACACTCTTGAACAAGCTAATTAAGGTCTTCAGGATCACTAGAAAACCACAGGTAGGGTGAGTTTGATCGGGGGTTTAGATCAACGCTGCATGGCAGCGACCCTCTGGGACTAGATTTGAGAAACCCTGATCTGCTGTCACCTTAGGTGGTTGCTGCTCATCTGCAGTAGTAATTTATGTAACTAATTTCTAATTGGTTAAAACAGGGATGTTAAACTCAACTCCTGGATGGCAACAGTCCTGTAGAGTTTATCTCCAAATTGCTCCAACTTCTTCTTGTTAGTTTTATGGCGGATTGCAACCATAAATTGCTCCGACACACCTAACCTTTAGTTTTCAAGTAATCCCAAAGACATTGGTTTGCTGGTTCAGGTGTGTTTAATTAGAGAGGGGGGCTGAACTCTGCAATGCTGTGGCCCTACAGGAACCGAGTTTGACATTCCTTCCTTAAACTGCTAGTGTTGCAGCTCACCGCGTTACAATACTCGCCAGTCTGAAAATTAAGTTTTTTTTTCTAAACAAAATATCCCTTTTTTAGTGACCCTTAGATAGTATCTCGTCTGAAAATCAGGTTGTTTGTCATAAAGATTAAGATTCTGGTCCTTTAATGATTTTGAATGAAATGTTTTACAAATTATGAACACTAGAGGGTGCCCAATATCTTTTGTAGTTCAGTCTCTTTGGTTCTCCATATGCTGCTCCATATCCCCTCCCCCTGGCCTCCGGTTTAGATAAACTTGTTTGACCCACCATCTGCAATCTTTTGCTTAATGTTTAATTATTTGATTCTGAGTCTATATTAAGCCCTGTTTGCTGTGCATAATGATTTGATTATTTTAAACCGAGTATATATGAGATTTCATGCTGTGGTATATTAAAGTACAAGTGTGAAATTTGAATTAGTCAAATATTGGAAGATTTCAACCAACATTCACAGACATGGACAGACCTTTCTCACTGTAGTAATGTGGTTATTAATACACATTTCTGCATTTTCAGTGCACGTGACTGCCGTCCCAACGAGCCCACCATGCCGATTGAACTCGCCATGCCGATTTATCTGACAAACGAAGAGTTCCTGAACCCGAGGGTGACTAAATACAGCAGGCCCTTGCGGCCATGTCTGCACCGGTGTCAAAGTACCAAACTTAGTTTCGGCTCTCCAAGGGAGCAGCCAGAGTTGAATAGGGCCAGCGCACATGTGGCGATACCTGGCAGGGCCAAAAAACAAGTATCTTTTGCTGATCACAAAGGCCTCGCCCTGACGATGGTAAAGGTCTTTTCTGAATTTGATGACCCTATTGACATCCCAACCAACATTGTGCAGTTTTTTAGCTCTTTGGTGACTCTGCCAGAAGGGAAGGACAAGCTAACCCTCGACTTTGACCAGCCATCTGCAGATTACTTAAAGTTTCGTCAACGTATAGAGAATGAAAACCTCTGCCTCGAACACTGCATGCTTAAGGAAAAATCTATAGCAGGGACGGTCAAAGTCAAAAACCTTTCCTTTGAGAAGTCCGTTAAGCTTCGCATTACGTTTGACACTTGGAAAAGTCACACAG